GGCGATCTATTAAGTGACTTCGACGGATCCAAAAATACATTTTTGGTGTGGGAAAAGTCGCTGCTCTTGTTGAGAAACACTTACGAGCTGGATGAGAATGCTATTAAAGTTCTCATCGCGGCTAAATTAAAAGGAAGAGCGTTGGAGTGGCTTCACTCGAAGCCCGAACATATTGAAATGAGCGTGGAAATTTTATTGTCACATATGAAGAAAATGTTTGACCATCGGCAAAACAAGTTAGCGCTACGGAGAAAATTCGAGGAAAGGTCGTGGCGAATTCACGAAAACTTCAGCGAATATCATCACGATAAAATGATTTTAGCCAATCAAGTGGGTGTCGAGGACGAGGAGCTCATCGATTATATGATCGACGGGATCCCGGACGATTTGTTACGCAATCAAGCGAGAATGTATCGTTTTGCGGAATCATCCGAATTATTAGAGGCGTTTGAGAAGATATCCTTAAAACCCAGGACGAATAAAAACGTCGTGGTTGACAAGAGAATTATGGCGAGTCCGCGATCCAGTGGTAATACTTGTGCTGTAAATCCACTGCAGCCTGTGCGACGGTGCTACAATTGTAATGGAGAAGGACATCTAGCAGATTCCTGTCTGAAACCCAAGAGAGAGCGAGGGTCGTGTTTCTCCTGCGGTGAACAAGGACACGGTTACCTGAAATGTCCAAAATCATCGAAAGCGGAGGCGCCGAAGCCGACGAGTGTGTCGCTGATCGACGGGCCGCAGAGTTCAATGCTGGAAGGACAGCGAAGGCATCCATCACTTCAGACCCCGTCCCGAGATTATTGTATTTTGCTGACAGAAGAGAAAGAAGAACACTATTTTGTGGAGGCATTAGTGGATTCTGGAAGTGCGATAAATCTTATGACCTATAAGACATTTAACAACTTTTTTAGTATGTACGAACTGGTGCAAGGTAAGCACAACTTTAATTATGGAGGAGTAAACCAATCACCATTGTCGGTTATGGAGTATGTCAATATTCGAATTAAGTTACAGCTGGTACCGTGTGATATTTTTGAAGTACGATTTATGGTAGTACCCGACTCGACGATGACGTAAAGCGCTTTATTAGGACGTGAATTTATGACGAGACCTGGAATGACTGTTGTTCTTAGTAAAGTAATAAGTATTCATTATGATCGAGAATATAGAGACGAAATACTAAACATTGAGTCCATAGAAACGAAAGAGAAATTAGATACAGACATAGATAATTTCGATGCATCGCTATCCGTTGAAGTTAAGCAAACGTTAATAGAATTATTAAAAAATTATATAAATTTAGAAGGTACAGCTGAACCGGTTGATTATAAATTTCAAATTACACTCGCCGAAAATAGTAAACCCTTTTATTTTTCGCCAAGGAAATTGTCGTTGCATGAAATGACGGAAGTCCGGAAAATTATTCATGATTTGTTGTCTCGAGGAATTATTAGACAAAGCAATTTAGATTTTTGTAGCCGGATTGTTTTAGTGAGGAAAAAAGATAGTAGTTACAGATTTTGTACAGACTATAGAGCGTTGAACAAAATTACTAAGATAGAGGACCAAATTGATAGATTGTCTAACAGTGCCTATTTTACAAGTTTAGATTTAAAAGATGGATTTCATCACATCCCTATTTTCGAAGACTCGATAAAATTTACATCTTTAGTCACGCCTGATGGGCAGTTTGAATATTTAAAAATGCCGTTCGGACTCGCAAATGCACCTGCAGCTTTTCAAAGGTTTGTTACTTTAATATTTAGGCCACTGTTGGAATTTGGAAAGGTTTTGCTGCATTTAGATGATATCTTAATCGCCATCAAAAATATCGATGAAAATTTAGAAATTTTAAAAGAGGTTTTGGAACTATTGGGCCGGCATAATTTGGAATTAAAGTTCAGCAAATGTAAATTTCTTAAACGAGAGATTGAGTATTTAGGATACAATATTAATATTAATGGAATCACACCGAATGGGTCGAATGTTAAAGCCATACAAGATTTCCCACAACCTAAGACGGTAAAACAGGTTCAAAGTTTTTTAGGCCTTACTAGCTATTTCAGGAAATTTGTACCTAATTTCGCTCGACTCGCACAACCATTGTACAATTTGGTTAAAAAGGGAATATCCTTTAAATTTGGAGTCGAAGAATGAGCTGCATTCGAATCGTTACGAAATTTGTTAATAAGTTTGCAGTTGCAGTTGCAGTTGCAATGCAGTTTGTTTGAATTCTGTCACGTGCCTGTTCCCGTTCCCTGACACCTTACACAATTACAATCTGTGGGGATTGGCGTAGCAACCTGTTTTAAAAACAAAAATTCTTTTATAGTTCTTTAAGACATACTTTATAATATATTTACATTTCATGAATACAAATTATTATTTAATACCTTGCAAAAAGAACACACAAGAAAGTGTCCGTTTTCATTTTCCTGACTGCGACTAACCCCCTTAAAAAACAAAACCCTAAATGCTCCTTTGGAAAACCTTCTGTTGTATCCAGCTCGTATTTACCACGACAGAGAAAAAACGACGGAAAAAACTCGTGCCTTAGCCGGTGTTCCGGTATCAGCGGCAAAAAGTGTATTTTAAGGGAATAAATGACGAAGTCGGAGACCGCGGGAGGTTCAGGAATGAGACGCGAGGGTATCGGTGCGAGTAAGAGCAGAAATGAAAGAGAATAAAGTGGAACACGAGAAGCAAAGCGAAATCATGGGGAATCGGTGTACCGGATAAATTTTATTCAGGTCAACCCGTACAGTGGTCGACCCGGGCGCGGAGGGTGGCTGAACTCCGTGACCTATATACCCGCAAATGGGGCAGAGAATAAACGACGAAGACAGATCGAGCTCATCCCCAACCATAAAGGTGCTTTCACGCTCTTCCCTCTCGAGTGGCGCGCGATTTTCTCGCGCTTCTCTCGGCCACCACTTTCCAGCCAATATATTCGCTCGAGAGACCCGGCTGCTTCGCTCGAGAACCGGATCGAGTCGACGTATTGATATTTTCGAACACGTTCCGCGCAGGATACGATGACAAATTGCGAATGTATTTCGAAACCAACGCAATCTAAATAAACCTGATTCTTCGGCTCTTTCCTTCGGTAAAATATGCAAACAGGAATCGCGTCGTATCAAATAATGTTACTTCCGAGCCACGTAAGTTGGTCGCGATGCTTTTTATTTACAATAAGACACGGATATATTTGTTTACTCCTACAGTTGCAAACTTTAAATATTTGATTACGTTACCAATTCGGAAGTTCTTATTAATTCCTTGAGGTCGTATGTCTTGCTTACTTGGTTTTTTTAAGTGCGCAAGTGTCATTTGAGTTATTGCACTGAATCCATACATGACAATACAATTATTTGTATTTTCCTTGATATTAATTTGCCTTACATTATTTTTTTCTGCCTTATTTTTTTCCAACTGCATTTCTATTTCTTATTCCTTTTTTTACTCATTGGTATATAAATAACAAGAACTATAAAGTATAGGATGTGGACTACAAATTTAATAACACGTTTTTTTATTAATTACCTACCTTTTTATTGATAACAAGTGTGGCTAAAGCGTTTATTAAAATAAAATTCGTTTTTTAATAATATTTGGCTACTGAATATACATGTGCGCTGACATTGCAAATAATCTAGATGTGAACATAATATTATAATGAGTACATGCAATACATAATACAGCAATAGTAGAAGTGAACATACAAATGTATGGGATGTGGCGTATTTATTATTAATAAATTATTATTAATATTAATAAGAAACGTGTTATGAAAAATTGTAGTCATTATAGATTTTTGATTAATGATTAACAATATTAAGAACTTCATTCTAAAATGAAATAGGATGCAAAAAAGTTCGTATTAAATTAGAAACTTGACATTAAAAATAAGCTTATAACTATAAATTTGCCCCCGATTGTACCACCCATACATCCTTAAGATATTCAAAAAATAATACTCCAAAATGGCAAAAAGAAGTTACCGAAAGATACCACATGATGGAGAATTATAAAATATAATTTTTACATAAAAACATCAAATTAAAATATATTATTGTGTAAATATATATCTAAAGTTCGCAAAAGAATGAATAAATCTTATTTATCCTCCACAATCTTGCATGTTATGTATTAATGCTTGTTCTTCGGAAATTAATTCCAGCCCATTTCTAAATTCAATACGACCGCAAAGAGTTAATGGGAATGTTTGCTGGAATAACTAAGATTTCGATTGATACAAATTTGTTTGCAAAATTTCTGTATCCCTTTTTTTCGCTATGGTGATAATATGGTTTTCGAACGAGTTTCTAATTTTAAAGTAGACTCACTCTTCGAACCTAAACCCTGTGAGTTTTATATCTTTAAAAATTTATGCTGCATTAACTACGATATCGATTGATAGAAATTTGGTTGCAAAATTTCTGTACCCCTCTTCTTTTGCTCTGGTTTTATTTTAGATATTGTAGCGTCCACACTACCCCGAACGCCCGCCAGAATAGCGTCCCAGTCGCACCCCCGCTAAGACCCCGAAGTTGCAGTGCCCACACTACCCCAAGCGCTCACCAGAGTAGCGCTCACGTCGTACCCCCTCTAAGGCCCCGAGGTACCTGACCTACCCCTACCACGCGCCGACGACCCCCCGCGTAGGTTAAAAGGGCGAGTAGCGTAGGATTTTTCGACAGTTTCCTAAACTTTCCGCTCCAACTAGCCGCTGCCTGGGTGGACAGCTAATATGGACTGAAAGTGCCAAAGGAAAAGACTCTGATCTGAGCGCTCCCCGAGTGAACCAAAGGACTGAGTCAAGTCTCTCACGACTAAAACCGTCGACGACTGTGTTTGCGCGACCGTATACAAGTTTTATCGATTATCGGACAATTTTATATAAGTGTAATTCTAAGTTTACTTGCTAGTATTAAATAAAGACTTTGAAACCTACGGAGACTCGTTATAATATGGTTTTAGATATGGTTTTCGAACGAGTTTCCAATTTTAAAGTAGACTCACTCTTCGAACCTGAACCCTTTGAGTTTTATTTTTAAGAATTCATCTTCAAAAATGGAAACTTAAGGGGAAAGCTTAAAAGGATACCTTTATTCCACAGTTGAAAATATTCAGAGGGTAACCGATCAAGCGAATGTCCTTCGCCGCTACTCTAGGATGTGGGAGAAATGTCTTCATCCGTGTATCGCTTCCCAAGGTAACTACTTTGAAGAGAATCACCTTGGTTATTAAAAATATAATGTAGAAAGGCTTTTATAAATGCAGCCTCATTATTTTTGGAACAGATCTCGTACAAAGAGGTCCGTGAAGAGTAACCGAGGGAAATAGAGTTCATCCATATTTTAACCGCAACGAATTCTGACGGTCGCGTGTTACTAAATAAAAACAGTTGTTTCAAAAATCGCTGAAACTTTTATTAACTCCTATATAAAAGATTTTTCAAAACAGGCTTTAGAATTTTGTTTTTTAATCGAGAACGCGAGTGGTATTTAAATATATCCACTATTTTTATTTTACGATGTCGCTTAACCGACGCTGGTAGACGTTGGTAATTGAAATAATTACCAAATGTTATTTAAAACAGACAATTAACGTGGTCAGCTTAAGGCGGTATCCTGAATTAGGAGGTCTAAAAAAGTGGTTTTTCGTGAATTTTTTAGGATGGAAAAAAATGATTAATTCTATCGAACTTTTTATCCCACTTTCATACATATTTGAGTAGTATGTACACATTTTTTCAACAAGAAATATTCAAATTGAGTCGACTGTGACGCACATTTGTAATTAAATTAAATAGACGCTATGCTGCGGCGCGCACGCAATGAAATGTGCGTTAGTATTACGGACTTTTATATTATACTATTTCCATTTCCATTTTCATTTCTTAAGGGGTTAGTCGCAGTCAGGAAGAGGAAAAACGACATTTCTTTGTGATTTTTGTTTAGTTATTAAATAATAATTTGGATAAGTAACAATTAAGTATATTATAAAGCATGTTTTAAAGAACTGAAAACATTTTTTGTTTTAAGAAACGTTTAATTTATATCGTCATAACAGCCGATGACGTAGACGATGATTTAAAAACATACATAGGTTTGCGATGAGCAGGATTTCTCTAAACTGGTTTACCTGAAAACAAAAACAAAAGTAGATTCCGAAAATAGATTGGTCTAGCGGGTCCCCGAACGAAGGATTTTGAAAAAAATTAATTTAAAAAAAGATGGTGTACATTTGAAGTTGATTTTCAATTTTTTCAGTAAAATTAAACGATTCAATACAGGATAAAAGAAAAAAGTATACAAGAAAATAAAAAATCCTTCGATCAGAGACCCGTTGGTCTAATATATTTTCTAAATCTACCTTTAGTTTTGCTTTCAGGTGCACCAGTTTGAAGAAATCTTGCTCACCGCAAACCAAGTGGCCACCCACGCCATCGCCTGTTATGACGAAATGAATTAAACTTTTTTTAAAGCAAAAATTCTTTTATAGTTCATTAAGACATACTTTGTAATATATTTAAAAAAAGCACACAAGAAACTGTCCGTTTCCACTTTCCTGACTGCGACTAACCCCTTAATTAAAGTTCTATTAAACAATCATAATACTGTGGCGTGTGTTATTTAGAAGATCCATATCAAACTACCCGTGTGGAAAATAGTAAGGGAAGCCTCCATAATATTCGGGTCCCGAACTGGCTTTAATATGGAATCCATAATATGATTCTCCCGGATACATCCCTAAAAGGTCCCGACAAGGCAATTACAGGTTTCCATTTTAAAATATAATCAGAGCTGGATAGGTGAATCATTGTAGGACCCGGTGGGGTTTAAACAAGGTACTCAATGATTTCCACAATATTTGTAAACAAGGACTTGATGGGTTAACCACTATGGGAACCAGTGTGGTACAGTCAGAGTATGGAGAAACCGTTAAAATGAAATTTAATAGGGCCTTAACGAATTGTGAGGACCTGAAAACGTTTACTCGGGTTATTGATCATAGAAACCAATGATAATGATTATGTTGGAAAACGAATCACACCTCTTGAGCGGGAGGGGGGGCGGGGGGCGTATACCTCTTGAGGGGTCCAGGAATTCGATCGCCGAGTTTCGTATATTCTTTGATGTTTGCCGACGCCC